TGTATATTTTTGTAAATAATAAGGATGGTACAGTTAAAAAAGATTCATGTAGTTATCATTTTAATCGGTATGTATATATCAGTAGACGCCAGAAAAATAGATATATAACTAATAATTTAACTTTTTTTTTATGTATACATATAATGGYGTTAAAAGTTAAAACAGCTTTAGATTTATGGGTACTTAGATGTTTTCCAATAAATRAAATAACTCTTACCTTCAGTAGGAAAACACAATTATCTACGGTTCTAGGTATCTACGRATTTCAAACTATTTTAACACCATCGTATTACATATTAGGCATTGTAGGCAATCGTATTAATGGATATTGAGGCAATTTKAGAGTCCAGTACATTAACACTTTTTTAATGCTCATTAGGCTAATGCACCTTAATTATTTAATCTGATAGAAATCAAATCATCTCTAATATTTGGGATTAAAAATGCGTATAAACGAGCCAATATTTTTAGCGGGAATTTAAAAACGAGAAATTATAATATAAAACCAATAACTAGTCGCTACAAAGTATAATTTTAATCATTAAAAGATTATATAATATAGAGTACTTATAAAATAAAAAATGATTTAATTATATTAGGTACTTTTAATCCCATAACTTTAGATGTAGGTAACTATGTGAAAAACATGTTAATATACATATATTAAAGTTTTAAAAGTTTAAAGATTTTCTGCTAATTTCTTACGATTATACCAAAATGTCATAGAGATGAGGTTAATAACACATAATATACATAATATATGTAGGTACTTTCGTAAAAAAATAATGTTTGAAGAATTATCAGCATGCAAAACTTTACTTAGCTTTTCGAGGTAATATTATTGTCATGGTTGTTGCCATTTATTATTAAATTCCTCTACACACTACTATCCTATATTTACATGAGTAGARTGAGGTGAGTCCCCCCCACCCAACGACTAGTTTCATTCATTCAAATTATTATTGTTTGGTTTAACCATGCCATATCGTTTTGTAAATCCTATTCTCATTATGTATTGTTGTGATTCACGTATAYAAGTATAACATATAGGTTCCTGCATGACTTGTGCCCATGAGGTTGAGCATGAAACGCTTGTCATTCCAATATTATTTTATTTCTCTAATAAATGTTTAATAACATTGTTTGTGATGGTTTTTTTTTTTTTATTGACAACTTAAGTTTTTAGACTGAGCTTTTTTGTTATCTCGAAAATTGAAAAATATTGCAATAAAAATGTAGTTTGTGCTATGTTTTGTGTTATGTTTTTGCTTTGAACATAACTTTTGTATTCGAACACATCAATTTAAAGTAACATAAAAAATATGATTTCATACTTATCATGATTTTTTTATACTTAAGTGCATAACATAGACACAATAAGACTATTTTTTTTCTGTGGGGAGAGGAGGTTATATCCATAATATTTTGTCTTTGTTAAGCYGTTTGAAAAATGCCCAATGTTATCTTTTTATTAAGTTAATATATTATTTGTAATTGGCTATAACAGCGTTAAGATAGTCAGTGGTCGGGTAGGTCTCATAAAGTGTCACTGTGAAGTTTAATTGTTGTTAGTTTAATATGATAACATTAAAATTATATCAGTTAGATTAATAGATAATATAACATAATCATGTATTATAACATTGARATAGTTAATTATATTTTGTTTTTATAAAAATAATAGGCAACACAGTGATAGTGATAACAAATCGGTCGTCAATAATTTAAACATTACAATAGGAGGCAGGTATATGTTATAAATTGACGATTTCCATAAACAAAGGAAATTGATTTCATTTTCCAGTAACTTATTCAATTTATATTTGGAGAAGAGGGATTACACCAGTCACTGTATAGTATGTATAATGTTTTAATTACCTTGCCATCTGGACTGCATACTTTGATACCGGCAACTGTAATTAATAGCGAGACATCTTTTTCAATTTGCACCTGAAAAAATTGTTTCATTRTATTATACGATATAATTTAAATGTATTTTACAAATTGCATACAACTATTGACTGACGTAATAATTAAAAATATATACGATTACTGATGAAATACTGAAATTGTATTTAAATATTTTTAATGTTCGAATTACAATATTACTATTGCGCAAATAAATAATTTAATAATAGGTAATTGAYGAAAGAAAAACCGAAAGAGATCATACTTTTCCGGAACTTAAATTCATCAATACATCGTAAAATACTTAAATATAAGAGTAGGTGCCTACGATTGATTTGATGGATTTTTWAAAAAATAATGTATACTATTTATAAAGTAGCAAACATTGAGTTTGAAATACGTGACATCATTTTTAAAATAGATATCTATATTCTATACTATATGGTATAGATATTTATTTTTTTAAATGTTTTTTTTTTAAATTTTATATTTCCACAATAATACATAATATACAATAAAGGCCGAAGAAAGTCAATATTCCTTTATTCTTATAACAATAAACGTCTAGTGTACATTGTAGTCGCACGATTTATATTAAATATAGTGATCCAGATACGCCCAAATAAGATGAAACAGAAATTATGGCATACAAGCTTAGGGTTTAA